AAGTAACAGCATAGCATGATGTATAGATATATAAAGGTTAGTTTAGTGCAATAAAATAGATTTACAAAATTTTGACATTCCAGCATGTTTTGGCCATTATCTCCAAAACAGGATTTGCGACGAGTGACTGGTTTGGCTTGTCTTTGCCACATATTCTGATTATGTATGCTATTCACAATGTATATATAATTATAAATAATGGTCTGGTTTGATTGCTCCCTAGTTTAAGATTACAAAATAGGTCTTGAGTTGCACCCTTGGAGTCCAATCTGGAATGGCCTAGGGACATATAGACCTATTAACTTAGCTTAAAATATGATCAAATTAAAGGTGAATTTATTTTAATATTGGGTTTAAAGTTCTTCATTTGTTTTCTTGGAAATAATTCAATGATTAGATATTAAAATTCAGTGTATAGGTTAACTCTGGTGGTAGTGGCTTGGGAGGTAGACCTTGTTTGGGTATTGAATAAAAAAATGTTCATCAGAGGCCAATGGGGTTGATGAATGAGGCCAGCCCTCCAGCACCTAGAAAAACATGGCAGATTTAAGTTGTTTATTGTAAAACATATAGAATGTTTTGTATTACACCAAAAACATTAATTATTAAAAATTTGTTTTGATTCTGGTTGTGCAATTCATGGCAAACAGGGGATTTATTAAAATGTCAAATTTGATGCAAAGATTTTAGAATACAATAAAATAGAAAAATAAAAAGCATTTTACTATTTTTAGAATGACTCAAATTAAATATTTACATTTCATCCCAACTTCCATCCCCTCATTTTTTCCCTTTCATTCAGCCACTATTTTAATGAAAACCTAAATACATACCACCGAGTCAAAATGTCGAACAGATAATTTTAGTACTTTAATATCAGCCTCCCTAAAGATTTAGTAAAAAAGGAATACAGTATTCTTTTACTTTGTAATTGCTTGCTTTTGTTAATTATAGTCTGCCAGGTGTGCCTCTAATTTTGGTGTCTGACAAACTGCCAAGTAGGTCTATTATCAAGAATGCATTCTCAACAAGCTTGTGCCTGTATTTTCCATTATTACCCAGCTTAATGGATTCCTCAATATATTTCCTTATTTGGTCATCCTTTTAGCGAATCATAGAAAACTATCTCTAGAAAACTTAACTGTATACGATGGTGTAGAGTATAGCAAGAGCACTCTTAAGTTAAAAAGAAAATATTGTTTTGGTTGTTGGAGTACAGTAAGCACCATTGATCTCAAAATTATGCCATTGTGGATGAGGAAAGAAAAATCATTACGTGTAAACTTTCATATTCTGACAAAAAATATTTAATATTTTTATTCCATGAGTATTATTTTGAGGAGTAACAAACATCATTAAATGCATTCTTCATTTGGGAACGATATCAGTGCCATTCTGAGAAAATCCTCCGATCTTAGATGCATACCATATATGGGCATCATATTAGAAAATATGAAAACTAGACCATTGATGTCATCTTTAGAACATACTGCAGAGTTGTAAAAAATGATATGTAGTTCAAATAATTCCAAATACAAAAATAATAATTTGATATTATGAGCATTGGAATAGTACAGTTTGTATTGTTTTCTACCATCAGATTAGTAAACTCAGTTATAAGTCTCCTGATTAAAGACCCCTCCAATTAAATACCACCTCCAATTAAAGACCACTTTTCTGTGGTCCCATATTAACAAATATCTTTTACCTTTATTATTCTAATTAGAGACCAAAGCTGCTAAAGTCCATGGAAACCCCCTCCCCCCCAGTTCAGAAGTGGTTTTTAATTGGAGGGAACCTTTACATAGTAAAGCGAACATTGCATAAGATGCACATTCAGTTCAATTCAATTCAATTTAAAAGTAAAATTGATTCCTTTTAAAATTCATACAAATATAAATTACAAAATCGGTTACAATTCAGGAGAAACGGAAAAAGGCACAGACCCAGGAAGAGAAAAATCTTGTGATGAGTTAGCACATCCCCTTTTATTTTTATTATATATACCTGTTTATAAAGGGTGATCCCTCAAGTTTTATTCAAGAAGGTCAGCTAATATTCTGGGTCCCTCTTAAGTAGGCCTAAATAAGATACTCTCTCATTACTACAATACAAGGTTTAGTGACTGGAGATGTTTTTTAGGACTGTTAATTATTGTAAAATGTAAACAAAAATTGAAGACCAAGTTTATCAATTGAAAACAATTGTGTTTTATGAATATCATTCCAACCACTATAAACAATTGGTCTTATATGCATTTTTATATATTTTCATACTTATTTTTTTTTTTTTGTATTTTGATGTAACTATTTGTATTTTCTTTCTTTACCAACTGACTTTAAATTATGTTTTGCCTCCCTTTTTAAAAGTATATTTATCCTCCTAAATGTTTGTTTTTTTTTGTTTTTTTTGTTCCTTTTCTGTAGACAATGAGAACCAGTCTATGCTGATTACGTAAGTTATAAAAAGATTGGTGTTGGTTTGTTTTTTACATTTGTGATATTATATTATTAAAATATATGTTTTTACTGACATTGCCTCATCCATTCATTCATTTAGTATAAATTTTGCCACAACATGCCTCATATAATGAACATTCAAGACATGGGATGACCACTGTCAAAACAAAATTATCTCTCAATTCCACCTAGAAAACGATAATAGAATGAAAAATTAATGTAAATAAGATATATCTTTGGGAGGATAAAACAAATTTATTATATTATCAATTCAGTTATTATTACACAAACAAATAGTTTGCTTGAGTGGAATCAACAAAATATATACAATATCCTTCAAAATACAAGAGCGACGTCATCTTATTCCATAATGACATGCACAACAAAGATTCATCCTTTTCCTGTTGAAAAAATGTTTTATAATATGAAAATGCATGGTTTTATTTATATAATTTATATAAGATAACTATATAGTTGTTTCATAATTTTTGCTTTCTGTAATAATAATTAAATTATTCAATGATGGGGATATTTTTTCTCTATAAATACAATACAAATGTAATATTACCTTTATAACATTTAAGTATGGGAAGCCTATACAATCTCAGATATGGAATTTCAACCTAATTGCTTTAGGGAACAGGCCAATTAATATTGATATGATAATAAATATAACTTATTATGACCTATTATATATTGAATTAAAAGGGTAGAGTGTTAAATTCAATAGGGCATTTAATGAGATATGAAGGGGTGCTTCAGAATTTATAGATGCTATGTCTTGCTACTATAGGCATTTTTGGTAAACCTTGGCATGGGTGCTAAGCCTAAGCACAAGTGCAAACATATGTGCAAAGCATGGGTTTTAAACCTGGGTGATTGGCATTGGTGCAAAATCTAGATGTTAGGTAGGAGTGCTAAACTTGGGTGCTTATAGTAAACAAAACAGAGGGCTAAAAATGGTGCTGCATGGGGGCTAGGCATTAAGTGTAAAACAACTTACCTGGAAAATCAAATATTCATTTGCTTTCTTTCTATTGCTTTTGATAATGTTTGTATAATGTTTTTCTTGATTATCATTGATTGGTCTTCATAATGTGATTGTTTAACCATGTTGTTTTTTATTCTCAACAGGAAACGTCAGTATACATCAAATATACAATATTTGCTGTTGTCTTATTGAACAGTATTTATTTGATTATTGCATTTTTCTCTTTATTTTCTTTATTGTATTTTTCCATTTTATTTTTCATGAAAATACAGTTAATCAGTGTTGTAAGTCTCAGAACATATTACATTAAATATATATTAATAATACATAACCAATAAATACAAAAGTAAACCTCATTAAACAATTAAAAGGGATATTTTAATACCTCTTTAAAAATACAAATTTAATATAAAATAAAAACTGTTTGTATCAACATTATAATAATCCTTATTTTATATATTATGTATATTTGAGATTTAAACATTTGAAAGCTGTATTTTCATGTCTTGATTTTTTATTTACTTTAAATGAAAAATCAAATTAAAGGTGCACACTGCATGTTGCATGTAACTTGAACAGGAAGTGTATCAACAAATCATCACAGCCTAAGCTTTGATTGGCTAAGAAGTTTTAGTGCCATTCTGTGCTGGGGCTGTGATATATGCTGAATGTACATGTCCTCGATCTAACACAATAAGCATGTGCTGTGCTTGAGTTAATGCGTTTAGCTGTGAATGGGTAGTTTTGATAAAAAAATGCATTTCTCTCAGTGGTGAATCTGGTGCAGGGAAGACTGAAAACACGAAAAAAGTAATCCAGTATTTTGCCAGTATTGCTAGCTCAGGAGCTTCCAAAGATGGCCAGGCAGGAGAGAAGAAGGTACAGTGTATGCATCCAGCTGTGGTATAAACATCCAGCCTAACCTGGCAACCATGGTCCATACAATGCCTATCTCTACTGAGCCATCTTTTGCCAAATTTTTCCTTCCCTTTTGTTCTAACTCCAGTAAAATCCTGTTGCTACTATCTGTAGACCAATACATTTAACAGATGTCTTGATGATTTTTGACAATGAGAATATAATAATATCATGCATAAATTATTTATTATCTAGTAGATGAAAACTGAATACCAATTTAGAAAAACTTTTTTTTGTCTTTCAAGTCTTTAGACTGAAATAAAAATGTTGGAAGATGTGCTGTAGATTGCTACACAAAAGTACAAGTTTCTACCGATAAAAAATAACCAAAAAAAAAAAAAAAAAAAAAAAAAAAAAAAAAAAAAAAAAAAAAAATTTCTAATTTATGATGGTTGTAATTGGATGTGCATTGTAGCTGAATGTGTTACCTGGTTAGGCTGGGGGAAGGTCATTCGAAAGATTGACCCTTTCGTTAATGCCACATTAATGTGCAGTCTACCTTTTATCTATCTATGTACTTTACTCTGTATCCAAGTTATCTATAGTCTTAGTAGTGTCTGTATGTCTTTTTTTTTTAAATAAGTCTTTTTATTTTTTTTAAATTTAGTATTAAAGCAACCTTTTTTCCCCATGATATAAGTTGGTCAATGGGACATACACCTCAATTTATTTAAGTTAACTCTTTAAAAAGTATAAGATTCCTAATTCAGTTTAGAGAGAATTCTTTTTTCAACTACCACAATGTAGAAGTGTATTTCATTTACATTAAGATTTTAATGAACTTGTTATAAGATTTTATTTTGAATCATGTCTAGAAACTGAAGATAAATATAGATATTAATTATCTTTAAAATACTTATCATAATTACCTATCATAATTTTAACACACAATTTTTAATTAAAACATTATTAATAAAATGAATTAGCCATTATGAAATTTTATTCTGAATTATATGAAAGAAACAGTTTCTTATTATTAATCGGTAAGATAATTATTTAGTGATAATTTCTTCAACCCCCACCCTACCCTCAACTTTCATGAAGCTTGAGATGATATCTTGTATCGACAGAGTATGCATATAGCCTGGTGCAGCTTTCTCCCATCCAGAGCTTGGAGATCAAAGATGAAATGAAAACGAAAAGAAAACATACTGAATTCACCAAATATTCTTAAGAAAATAGCTGCATTGTCTGTAGAAATTTAGTTAGCATGAAAAAGCAAAAAAAGCAGATGATAATGCTGCATGTATATACACAGACGCTATTATACGAAGAGAGGGGTATGAAATGTTTATTTTAAGAGCAATTAAAGATGCAGTATGAGAAGCATACTATATGTAGTGCATTATTTGGATAAAATTAT